TATTAAAGAAGAAGAAGAAGAAGAAGAAGAAGAAGAAGAAGAAGAAGAAGAAGAAGAAGAAGAAGAAGAAGAAGAAGAAGAAGAAAAAGAAAAAGAAAAAGGAGGGGGAGGAGGAAGAGAAGAAAAAAAAGAAGGAGAACAGAACTGAGGAAGAGAAAGGGGAGATGAGAGATTAAGAAGGGGAAGTGGGAGAAAAAAGAAGGAGAAGAGTGAGAAGAAAGAAGAAGGAGAAGACAGAAGAAGAAAAAGAGCAAGGGTAATTAAGAGAAGAAAGAAGGAGTGGCAGAGGAAGTGAGAGAAGAAAGAAGGATAGGGAGAAAACAAAGGAGGATGAGTAGATAAAAGGAGGGGAAGAAAGTTCAGCCTCAATTTCAAGTGTTTCTCCCGTGCCCCAGGTCTCCGCTGTCGACCCCGACCCAGCCACAAGCCAGAACGGACAGATCAGATACTCCATCGTCGGTCCCGTCGAGGCCAAGGCATTTTTCCAGATCGAGCCAGTCTCTGGCGTCATCACGGCTCGTGTGTCGCTCACAACAGCTCCTGACGACTTCTACAGGGTGAGTACAAATTGTCAACAACCTATTCAAATTTTAATGTTCTACGCCTAGAAAGAAACATTTTTCAGGAGAGAGAAAAAATTGTTTCATTCTTTTAACAATTGTACCTTCGATATGTATCTTTTTTTTGCTTTTTTTTGGTGCTACATTTAGAATTCGAATTTTGACAAAATGTTTCTTGACACATGCAACTAATACCACAGATTTAAAAACTGCAACTAAAGAATGCAAAATTTTGGGTTTAGTACAACTGAGCAGCAAGCTGATGAAATGTTTTGTTAATCATGGTAAAGCAAGTTCACTTAAGATAAAAGATGATGTCTGTTATCTGCTTGGAAATCTGCTACTAAACAGCGGAAAAAAATAAAGTTATTCACCACACTTTGGGAAATTAGGTGACAATTCAGGGTGAACAATGTTTTGTGAATATTACACACAGAAAAAGGTATTCATCTCACTCTGAAAAACTTTCCTGCAGACAGTCTAGTGTGAACAATATTTTGTGAATATTATACAGTTGCAACCATTACATACAAGGCTATATTCAAAAGCTCTGAGTACAGAAGTCCACTTTTCTTTTTGGAACAAATATATTCTCTCTTTTCTATTGTTATGTCTGCTACAATAGTTACTCACTTGAGCATTAATTTCTTGAAAGCAGGAAAGCATGTGCAAATGGGTTTGGTGGGGAGTTACTTGGCCAATGCCCATCATCTTGACCAGCCGCATGGGTAGAGTCTATTATTGGTTTTGAAAAATTGGTAGCTATGAACTTGTACATTCGTAACTTAACATTCTATCACATTTTTCTTTCAGCTGACAGTGCGAGCCAGCGACCTGGGAGTCATACCTCAGACAGTGGATGCTATTGCTTCCATCCGCATCCGCAGAGAGGGCTTCCCGTTCTTCCCCGAGAACGAGTATCTGGAGACGAGATCTGAATCCACGCCTGTTGCTTCCACCATCATCCAACTGCAAGCCACAGATCCTCTAAATGTAAGAGTCACTCTGTCTTCTTTGACAAATTTTTATCAAATATTATGTCCACGTGATTATAGGCACTAAACGAAAAAAAGATTAACATCAAGATTTATCCTGCAGACCAGTCTCTATATTTCATTATCATCATCATCATCATCATCATCATCATCTTCGTTATCCTCCTCCTCCTCCCCCTCCTCCTCATCATCATCATCGTCTGACATCCAATCAGGACACGAGACAAAAAGACAAAAGTTCATGTGACTGATACAGAGAGTGCTAATTTGAAAGTCAGCTCTATAGGTGCTCAAAATTTTGCTTATAAAAGACTGAGTAAATCAAATCTTGAGGCAGCATTACCTGTCACTGCTGTTGTTTCATTCTCTCATTTTTAAAAAATCCATTCATTCTTTTGTCCCTCCGTTCCGTCATTGATTTTGTCTTTGTTTAACTCTTTAACCATGCAATTTAAAATCATGGTTCTGCGTAATTTTCTTGTGTTTGTAGAAATGCAACCCAACATAATATTATTACGTTTTAAAAGAGGCTTGTTTCGTGTCAAACTGATCAAAAAAGTGTTACTCTAACACAGAATCCATTTATCTTTGACTTCTGGGTCAAACTAAAGACTTGTTAGCTTGTACTTTGTTATATTTGGTTCGTACCATAATACAATAATAACTTCAAATTTGACGGTGGTACCGTCCAGACATGGTTACTCTTTCATCACCGTTGTCTGTGATAGGGTGAGCGGTTAGCTGCTTTGCTGTTTTAAAGTGTTTAAATCAGTCTATCTGCTAGGATGCTGCATCTATTTCAGCCCGGGTTCGCCCTGATAGGCAGGGTGGGTCAAAGCTGGCCTCCTAAATAATCTAAATTGTGTTGATGATGGGGGGCATAAAACACTTACATTTTAAAGAAAGAATAAGTTTTAAAACTCTTTCATTCATGGAGTTGCTTTATTCATTTTTTATTCTGTTGTGTTCTTTCCGTTAATGTTTTTGTCGTCACACAGCCAGCAGTACAAAATACCCCATCTGGTCACACAGCCAGGAGAGCAACTGCAACAGACTTCTGGGTCCTGGCACAGAACTGCACCAGGTGCCGGAATGGAAAATTTTCACCGGTGCATTATTGTGCCATGTGACTCAAAAGTTTTAATGTATTTTGTCATTTTCTTTTTTCTTTCACAGAAAGAGCTGCGTTATGAGATCACCGGTGATGGGCTGGCGTCCACACTGTTCAGCATCGACCAACGGACCGGCCTCATCACCCTGGCACAGTCTCTGGAGAGTGACAAGAACAATACGTATATTGTAAGATCTCCCTCACTTGACAAAAAAACAATACATATATTGTAAGATCTCTCTCACTTTATAAAAACACTACATATATTAGAAGATCTCTCTCACTTGATAAGAACAATACGTATAATATTGTAAGATCTCTCTCACTTGATAAAAAACCCAATACGCATATTGCAAGATATCTCTCACTCCACAAAAACAATACGTATATTGTAAAATCTCTCTCACTTGACAACAAAATACGTAGATTGTAAGATCTCTCTGACTTGACAAGAACAAAACATATAATATTGTAAGATCTCTCTCAATTAACAAAAGCAATACATATATTGCAAGATATCTCTGGCTCCACAAAAACAAACTGTAATTTGTCCGACCTCACTCACTATCTTGATTATAATGGACAGCAATTAATTTTAATTCACTCAGATCCATGAAAAAGTAAAACTGTAATGAGATGTCATGCATTGAATAAGATAAGAAAAATTGTACTTTGAATTTTAAGAGGGGTTTGAACAATAAAATCAGTCTCAACTCTCTTTTTATTGCAATCATTTGTAGCATGCACTCATGGACCCTTGTTGAACAGGTACTTAAAGATACCTTCAAAAGAGGACTCAAAACACATCTATTTAAGGAATATTTTAATTAATGGACAGTACCTTGCCTTTTTGTATGAGCATTTTTTATTGTCGGAAAGAATGGTGCTGTCAAAAAGTGTGCGCACATGATGAATTTGTATGGTGTTAATATGAATGCGTTTTTAATCTCCTATGTACGCCTTGGGCCCATGCTGTGGAGAAAGGCGGCATACAAATGCTCTTATTATTATTATTATTATTAAAGTTTTCTGAGAGTAGTAAGCCTGCTAGTCTGAAAATCTGAACTCAGTGAGTGCAAGTTTAAGCTTTAATATTTTTTGGCCTTGAAAACAGGTTCCTAGAATATTATGTGGCAGTCATGGTTGGTTCTTTTCAAGAGAATACTTTTGGGCCTTTTTCATTTCTGTGAATAATAGCTCATAGATTGCATTCTCTAGGTCTGCCATGGTGACTTTTTCATGCATTCTACTAGAATGAAAAGTTGTAGGAATCTTCTCTTTGAATGCATTGACATTACAATTTATATGAATGTGAATGCTAAAGTGATGCTTTGGTTAAATCTTAACTTTGAATGTCGAGACAGTACTATAATTCTTTCTCTCTCTCTTTCTCTCTCTCTCTCTCTCTCTCTCTCTCTCTCTCTCTCTTTCTCTCTTTCTCTCTCTCCTTCTCCCTCTTTCGCTCTCTCCCTCTTTCTCTCTTTCCCTCTTTCCCTCCCCCCTCTCTCTTTTCGTCTTTCTTTGTGTCTCTCTCTCTCAGACGTTCTCACTCCTTCCCTCCTACCCTCTCTCTCTCTCTCTCTCTCTCTCTCTCTCTCTCTCTCTCTCTCTCTCTCCCCTCTCTCTCTCTGTCTCTCTGTCTCTGTCTCTCTCCCCCTCTTTCTCCCCCCTCTCTCTCTCACCCCCCTCTCTCTCTCTCTCTCTCTCTCTCTCTCTCTCTCTCTCTCTCTCTCTCTCATATAACAATCTATTCTGCCTCTCCCAGATCCGTGTTTCAGCGTACCGCGTAGAGGACGCAACAATCCGTGCCCAGACAATCGTGCGTGTCCAAGTGACCCGTAACGCCAACCCTCCCACCTTCCTCCACGGAAACTTGGAGTACACGATCTCCGAGGACCAACCTCTGGGCGTTTCCATCGGCCAGGTCAATGCCACTGATGCTGACAGCGTAAGTTTTGTTTTTCCTTCAGCGTAAGTTTTGTTTTTCTGTACCTTTTTAACCCTTCCAGCCCCGTGCGCTTATATTTTCAGCAGCGCTTGTACTTCCCACCGTCACAAGAGCGTATAGATCAATTTCGCGGGGTACCAAATTTTTGCATGAAAAAATATTAGCGAACCTATTTAAACTTTAATTTTCGTAATATTTGTTCATTTACCTTTAAACAGTGGTATTTGTTATTATCTAAACCTCATTACAAAGATACTACATCACTTTTAAGGATGCATGCCTTTTTTTCTGAATTACTGCTGTGTTGGCTGGGATTGGAGTTAGGGAGTGCTCAAAAGTGGCTGGCGCTAGAAGGGTTAACTCTTTAAACCTCATCGGACACTAGGAGCATCCGGCAGTAATAACCTTGTTCCCCATCGGACGCTCCCAGTGACAACTGTTTCATTTCATTTAGTGCTAGTTTTTGCTTGTTTTTCGGAACTATTCCCGAACCAAGTTTTTTTTTGTAATGACAAAGCCTTTGTTTCCACCATTTAGAAGTTGGAGGCAAACTTGTGGGGTTATAGTGAGACATAGTGTACCAGAGCTTGTGGGGTTATAGTGAGACATAGTGTACCAGAGCTTGTGGGGTTATAGTGAGACATAGTGCACCAGAGCTTTTGGGGTTATAGTGAGACATAGTGCACCAGAGCTTTTGGGGTTATAGTGAGACATAGTACACCAGAGCTTTTGGGGTTATAGTGAGACATAGTGCACCAGAGCTTTTGGGGTTATAGTGAGACATAGTGCACCAGAGCTTTTGGGGTTATAGTGAGACATAGTGCACCAGAGCTTTTGGGGTTATAGTGAGACATAGTGTACCAGAGCTTTTGGGGTTATAGTGAGACATAGTGCACCAGAGCTTTTGGGGTTATAGTGAGACATAGTGCACCAGAGCTTTTGGGGTTATAGTGAGACATAGTGCACCAGAGCTTTTGGGGGTTATAGTGAGACATAGTGCACCAGAGCTTTTGGGGTTATAGTGAGACATAGTGCACCAGAGCTTTTGGGGTTATAATGAGACATAGTGCACCAGAGCTTTTGGGGTTATAGTGAGACATAGTGCACCAGAGCTTTTGGGGTTATAATGAGACATAGTGCACCAGAGCTTTTGGGGTTATAGTGAGACATAGTGCACCAGAGCTTTTGGGGTTATAGTGAGACATAGTACACCAGAGCTTTTGGGTTTATAGTGAGACATAGTGCACCAGAGCTTTTGGGGTTATAGTGAGACATAGTGCACCAGAGCTTTTGGGGTTATAATGAGACATAGTGCACCAGGTTTAGATGACTGTTGGAAACAACTCCAGGAAACGGTGGAAGAAACTCAGGGTTTAAAGAGTTAATGTAGTTTTTTAATAGGCCCCCATCGACACAATTTAAATCATTGAGTAGATGGGATTCCAAGCCTGCCTACTGGGGCTGACCCAGGCTCAGGCTGATAGAGATACAACATTCCAGCAAAGTGACTGAAATACCTGATAAAAATTCTGTCACACTTTGGATTTAAACTTTTGGTCTCCTGCATGAGACAGCAGGGTGCCTAACAAATACGCTACCAAAGATACTGGTTTTCTGTGTAAATGCTGGTCACATTTAACAGATGCCTGGGCAGAGACTCAGATCTGTGTGACTTTTGTGGGGTCATGGAGGAGATGTTGAACAAATTTGTGTCAGAACACTATCCAATCAGGTTTTTTGTCAATTTCTGTTTGTTAGTTTCTGTTTGTCAATTTATGAAGTTTTTGGTATCATCTTAAAGCTTGTTTTTGTTTAAATCTTGCTTTTTGATAAAAGGAAAACAACCCATTTATCTTGAATATAAGTCATTCTTTGTTAAAATTGACAGAATCGCATAATTTCACATTTTTGGGCTCAGTTTGCATAATTTCATAATTTTTCTTGCATAAAACGATGGGGCTATAGAGATCATCAAAGAAAGGTTGTATTCCTGGGAAAGGTACTTTACACAAATAAATTTTATCATTTGGCTTAATCCTATTGAAGATGGATATTAAATTTAGTCGTATTGTTTTACAATTTTGCCCATAGACAGCCAAAATTCCAAACTCATTAGCTGCTACGTCAATAACTATGAAATATATTACTTTTGCCACTTGTTCGGTAAAAGACTGTCTTCACAAATTCATTTCTGTTTCAGGGGGCAAATGGCGAGTTCACCTTTTCCATCAGCACCGTGGACTCGAGTCCGTCTTACGCCAACACGTATTTCTTCATGAACCCTGTCACGGGTGTCCTGGCGGTCTCTTCCAGCCTGCGAGATGATGTGGACCGCCCACTGCAGTACCTGGTGAGTCTGGAAGAGATTGGTTCTTGTGGAATAATGTAGATCACATGACATACCTCTGTTATAACTGTTCATCATCATTCGGTGCCTTGCCAACTGGCATGGGCGATCATGGACCTCCACTTCTGTCATGCGTTGCAGCAATGGTGTCTGTTGTTCTTGTTGCTTCTAGCCATGTTGTCATCTTGTCCAGTATCTTTTCCCTCTGTCTGCCTCTGCCTCTCTTTCCATCAAACTTGCCTGTTGTTACAATATTCTCCAATGCTTTTTTATTTTTAGGTTCCCTAAGTAGGTCTACTGATGATAGTAGTTTTATATCTGCTGTTTCTCGCTTTAAAAATAACCCCCCCAAAAATTCCTGTTTACTTCCCACGGATATGATCTGATACTCCACAATCCGTTCACCTGACTATTTTATTTTGCAGGTCAAGCAATAATCTTAGAAAATTTGCGCATAATTGATCCGTTATGATGTTGGTTGGTGGATGTTTTTGTATGTTTCATTCTTCCTTTCTAATCAAAGACTTATCGTCCTTATATCTCCTCCTTCTTGTCTTTGTCGGTTATTCTCAAGTACACCCCTGTTCTTCAGCACCTAATAACAATAAAAATAATAAAATAAATTACATTTTTATTTGTCCGGAAGGGCACTCTGTTGTACAATGGCAAAAATAAATACATAAATACATAATTATAAATACGTACTTACATAAAAACATATATGCATATATACATACATAAATACACACTATTACACAAATACAGAACAGTTTACAACCATCCCAATGTCGGTCGCCATTGTGCAGCGTCCTGTATTTTGAGCTAGGGTTGTCGTGTCTTGCCCAAGGACACACCCCAGTGATCACCCATCTGATCCCAGTGTCACCGACACTTGCTTGACATTACTTGAGTCTAAACTCACTACTCACTTAGCCACTGGAGCCCCCAATTAATATAATTATGTTGCAAGTACTATAAAACTCTTATTAAAACTTTATAAAAAACCTAAATCTGACCCATCAGATGTTTGTTTGTTTGTTTGTCCAGCTATCTGTCGTGGTGACCGACAACGGATTCCCCCGACGATCCTCCGTGATCCGAGTGACCATCATCGTAGTCCGCAACAGGTTCGGACCCGAGTTCCGTTTGGATTCTTACGAAGTGAACATCGACGAGAACATTCCGGCAGGCACCAGCATCGTCACAGTCCAGGCGGTGGAGCAGGAAGGGGTATGTGAGGATAAATTGTATGAGGATAGATTGTGTGAGGATAAATTGTATGAGGATAGATTGTGTGAGGATAGATTGTGTGAGGATAAATTGTGTGAGGATAGATTGTTTTGTGAAAGAGAAGGGGGATGAGATGATAAATTGTTTTGTGAAAGAGAAGGGGGATGAGATGATAAATTGTTTTGAGAAAGAGAAGGGGGATGAGACGATAAATTGTTTTGTGAAAGAGAAGGGGGATGAGATGATAGATGTTTTATGAAAGAGAATGGGGATGAGATGATAAATTGTTTTGTGAAAGAGAAGGGGGATGAGATGATAGATGTTTTATGAAAGAGAAGGGGGATGAGATGATAAATTGTTTTGTGAAAGAGAAGGGGGATAGATTGTTTTGTGAAAGAGAAGGGGTATGTCTGGATAGATTGTTTGTGAAAGAGAAGGGGGATGAGATGATAAATTGTTTTGTGAAAGAGAAGGGGTATGAGGATAGATTATTTTGTGAGCGGAAAGGGGTGTGTGACCAGAGATTGTTTTGTGAAAGAGAAGGGAAGGGGGATAGATTATTTTGTGAAAGAGAATAGGGGATAGATTGTGTTGTGAAAGAGAAGGGGTATGTGATAATAAATTGTTTTGTGAAAGAAAAGGGGTGTGTAACAATAAATAAAATTGTTTTGTGAAAGAGAAGGGGAATAGATTATTTTGTGAAAGAGATGGGGTGTGTGATAATGAATTGTTTTATGGAAGAGAAGGGGTATAGATTGTTTTGTAAAAGAGATGGGGTATGAGACGATAGATTGTTTTGTGAAAGAGAAGGGGAATGAGATAATGAATTGTTTTGTGAAAGAGAAGGGGTGTGAGGATAGATTGTTTTGTGAAAGAGAAGGGGTGTGAGGATAGATTGTTTTGTGAAAGAGAAGGGGTGTGTGAGGATAGATTGTAAAGCACATAGAACTTGCTGTGAGTGGGAATTTCGCTATAGAACAGCTATCTATTATCTCTTATTAACTGTTAATATTATTATTATTATTATTATTATTATTATTATCATTAAGAAATGGATAAACATAAGTTATCTGATGGAACTAAAATTTTGACCAGGTATAACCTTTTTTTACCTTTTCACCCCGTTGCTTAAAAATAGCTTTGCTGAAAACAGGGACCTTTCTCTCCAAGCATTCACACATTTTTTGTCATGCTAATGCTCAGTCAGTCTTGTTTCTGATTAGACCTAGGGAATAAAATAATGAGCTGTGATGACATCATCATAACACGTGTTCCTGTCATGTCTCCGTTGTACAGGACGCCGTAGTGTACTCCCTTCTGGGCACGGTTCCAGCCTCTCTGTACTTTGTCATCAACCCCACCACAGGAGTCATCCGGACCAACGCCACCATTGTCTTTGATACCACCACCAAGTACAGCGTGAGTCTTTTCTCTAACTTCACTTACATTCCGAGACAGGCAGCGTCCCCTCGCACAGCGCGCTCATATGACCTTAGCAGTTGCGAGCGCCGTAAAACCCAATACTACTACTACTAACTTCACTAACTACTTGTAGTGCGACACTGATTATTTTATTGTACCGTACTGCACAAAGTACGTCCAGATATTGTTGGCAATGCGTTCAAATATTCTGAGTTCAGGAAGTAAGATTTTTCAGTAGAGAGAGACTTGGTTTGTGTAGGTAAACTATACTCTTCTCATCCCCTCCCATTCTCTCTCTCTCTCTCTCTCTCTCTCTCTCTCTCTCTCTCTCTCTCTGACTCTCACTCTTTTTGCTTCTCTCGCTCTCCTTTGCCCTCTCCCTCTGTCTCTCTCAATGTTCCTCTCTCTCCTAAACACTCACACACACACACTCTTTCACTACATTTCCATTTCAGACCAACACTACACTTATTTTCTCTCTCTCTCCCTTTGTCTCTCTGTCTCTCTGTCTCTCTGTCTCTCTGTCTCTCTGTCTGTCTCTCGCTCTCTCTCTCTCTCTCTCTCTCTC